GCGGTGCCGCGGGCAGTGCGGCGGCAGCAGCAGCAGGCGGTGCCGCGGGCAGTGCGGCGGCAGCAGCAGCAGGCGGTGCCGCGGGCAGTGCGGCGGCAGCAGCAGCAGGCGGTGCTGGCAGGTTTGGAGCAGGTAGGTCTTGTACTGCCCCTTTAAGGGCTTTGGAGACCCGGGGAATAGCGTCTCTCACGGTGCGAATTCCGCCGTGCCCCAGACGCTCCGGCCGATAAAAGTACGCCTCCAACGGAGGCGGCTGCTCTCCGCGAAAGCTGGCAAGGCGGGCAGCGGCGATGTCCTCCCAGGCGGGTGGTGAGCCCTCGTACTCACAGGCAGGGAGCAAAGTGCAGGCTCCGAAGCGGAGCGTCGGGATCGCCTCCCGTCTCTCGGTAAGCCGGTGCTGCAGGCGGTGGAGGCATTTCCGTGCTTTTGTCAGCGGGTATTCCTGTCCAAGTGGGCGCTCCTTCCCGAGCAGGTCCGCGCCCCGGTTGGCCAGCTCCAGGGCTACAGGGTCCTCCTGGACCTCGGTTGGGATTGCCAATGCACAAATTCTTGCAGCAGCCCGAGCCGGTGATGCCCGGACTGCCGCTTTGTGCTTTGAGGGAGACTTGTCATTCTGTCACGGTCGGTCGGAAGGCGATCCGGGAGGCAGGCAAACGGAGTCAGGAAGTAGGGCAAAACGGGGATTTATTACGGCACGATAGGACCGGGGAGGCACGACAGGTAACATTAATGACAAGTCTGGGGAAGACTGACTCAGACGAGGACTAAATACAACAGACAAGCTATGGGTAATGAGCCACAGGTGAGAACAGTCAGGGAGAAACAGGAGGTAATGAGGTGGGCGTGGCACACATTAGGAGCGGACGGAGCGGGGCGTGACATCATGCGCTTCTCATGTTGTTTCTTTCTTTCTTGCTTTGTGGTGGTTTTCTGCCGAGTCGCGACCTGTTTGTCGGATTTTGGGGATTGTATGTAAAATGTTTTAGGGCCGGTCCGGTATTCTAAGTGTTGGTTAGTTGCGTTCTTAGGTTGATGAGATCGTCTTGATTTGGCTTAGAATTGTGATGTCATTGTTTGCAAGATAGAAGGGGGTGACATGGGGTACTGGTACTTTTGCCTCGTGGGGGCGTGTAGTGAGCCGCTGTGTGCCGGGGGGGGTCGTCCCAGACATCGGTCGGTTTCAGGTCGGAGGGGTTGATAGGTGTGACCAGACCTTGCTGGTTGTTGGCCAGAGGGTTGCTGTGGGCTTGGGTGCTGGGGCCGGGGTGCGGGTGTTGTGTTTGGTGGTTTGGGTGTTGATTGTGCTTTCGGGTTCCGCTCCTGTGCTGTTTGTTTGGGATGAGTGCTTGACTGTTGGGATGCGGAGGGAGCCGGAGTGATGTTTGGTTCTGGTCGGTATGTGGGGTGCGCGTCTGGAGCCTTGGGTGCAGCCGGATCCGGGGCCTGTGTTTTTGGCTGCTTTGTCGTTTTAGGGGGTGCATTTTGGGTGGTGCTTGGCGATAATGAATGATAGATTCACATAGATGTGACGCAAGTACGATTCTGCTGAGGCATTCCAAACACAGCAAATAAGAAATTGTATGACCTCATTGCATGAAGTCACATAACTGGCCAACGCTATGACTTCATGCCATATGGTACTTAAACTCCATTTTGATATTAATGACATGTATTTTTTATTGTCCAGGCCAGTAAGAGTGCAGAGCTAGTGGTCCTTAAATTTAGGAGGGATTGTCTGCAGGGCTTCTCAAACATCGTAAGAAAAGCACAGGAGAAGAGCCCCTTGAAATATGCAACAGTTATGCAGATGGAGTGTCTGGATGCATCTCTCATGTTCAGGGACCCAGACAGATGCAAAAATAAGATGAAGGCTCTTGTCCAGGCATTCCTGAAAAACAAGCACCTGACAGGAGGTGTACCTGCTGGTAGGAATAGTTTTGGAAGGGGTTATGAACCAAAGTTTGAATACCATGCTCAACTATCCTTTGATTTTTTTATCGGACTTTATTCAGAGCATTAGTTGCAGACATATGCTTTGCCATTTGACACTTTTCCAGTGTCCTAACAGGGCTAGTTTAGCATGGATGTTTCACTTTTGTCATTCCCTCTTGTGATGGTCCTCTACCTGTTGCTGTACTACCTGCTACCTGTGGCTCAGATGCATTGAATAAGTTACATCATTTTATACAGGTTTTTGTTCTTATTGCAGACATTTGGAGATAGTGTCTTTATCTAACACAGTGATTTACAGCCATGGCCAAAAATATTGGCACTGTTACACTTTTTGCCTTTACAGTTGGTTTTGGTATACATGTTTATTTCCTTTATGTGTGTTGGCACAATACAAAAATGAAGAGAAAACAAGACAGAAGTGGCAATATTTTCAGTCATGAAATGCATATTTGACTGACTTCTTATTTTCTCGCACTTTGTTGTAGGGGATGCCGTTGTCCAACAATTTGAATCTTTCCTGTCTGTTGAGGCGAGAAATGAAGAATTTCTTGCCTTCCAGGCATTTGAGAGATGCGCAGACACCTTCCTGCGTGAGAGATTAAGCCGACCCTACCCTGCTGCTTTGGACTTTTGCCAGAAGTTACTGCTGCTTTCACATGGCCAGACCTCTGTTGAAAGGGTATTTTCTATCAACAAGGAGGTGGAAGCCGAAAACATGCAAGAAGACACAATTTTTGCACAATGTTTGATATTTGACTATGTTGCAATGCATGGGGGTGTCACTCAGGTCCCCCTCACCAAGGAACTTATGGCATTTGTGGGTGCAGCTCGGTCAAAATACCGCCTCTTTCTCGACGAAGAGCGCATCAGAAAAGAAAAGGAATCCCAGAGCCAGAAAAGAAAGCTGGCTGAGCAGTCTCTGCAGGACCTTAAGAAAAGGAAGACAAGCTTGGAGGATGCATCTTGTCAGAGAGACAGATGCACTTGCAGAATAAGCTGAGAGGCGGGCTGGCTCCAAGATGGCTCAGCTTCTCTTCAACTCCAATGCCCTGAGAAGGGCGTACAAAGAAAAACTTGCCGAACTGAAAGTCCTTGAAACTGAAATCAGTGCTAAAAGGGATGAATTCCGGCATATGCAGGATTAGGTTGTATGTGCTAGGCTAGTGTTGTGTTGGGAATATGTATGTCAAGTTCTGTCATTTTAAGTATTTTGATTATCTGTTTTAATACTGAATCAATAAAAATAGAATGTTTTGAGAATTCCTGGTATCATTAGAATGTTTCTAATGTACAACTAAAATAGCAAAGAAAACATACGGTTATTTGTGCAGAACATTTCACGCGGTAGCAGACCATAATGGTCATAGAAGTGTTATGAAGGCAGTACCCCCCAATTATGGAGGGGTAATTCGCACTCTGATTGTAAGTATTCCTTTATTTGAGCAGGTCTGAGGATCTTGCATCTCTCCAGATTCTCTCGGACAGTGTGTCACAAGAACTGCACAGAACTGCATATCAGATATTAATGTTTGTAAGGTTGTCCCCCCTCCCATTTGCGTCTGATTTTGACCAAACCGATCACAATCGTTTGTGCCATTAAAACTGTCCTTTGTGCTGCTTCAGTGCTGATATATTGCTTATTTACTTGGTCACGTGACTCTGCCGTTACTTGGTCACGTGACTCCCCCCATTTGCCTCCAAATCGGTCTCAATAGTTTGTGCCGTTTAAAAGTTGTCTGTACTGTTATTTTATGCTTAGTTTATGCCTTTACGTGATCGCCGTATAGCGCTCAGGCTCATGTTTCTCATGTTAACAGAAGGTCGGAAACTAAAGCAGGACAAAGGACAGTTTTAACGGCACAAACCAGCACAAATGCAGTACATACGATTGCGATCGGTTTGGTGGAAATCAGATGCAAATCGGGGGCCAACTTCACTCTGATGGCATCACCATATAAACAAACATTTATATCTCAGAAACTAAAACAGCACAAATAAAAATTTTAACGGCACAATCCGGCACAAACACAGCACATACGATTGAGACCAGTTTGGTTGAAATCTGAAACATATGGGGGGCCAACTTCACGCAGGTCATTCAAAATTACCTTATCTTTTCCTTAAAATGATACATTTTCTCAGCTTAAACATTTGATGTGTTTTCTATGTTTTGTTATAAGTAAAATATGGGTTTTATGAGATTTCCATATCATTGCATTCTGTTTTTATTTACAGTTTGCACAATGTCCCAGCTCAGATTCACCCTTTTTCGACTTCTTAGCAGGTCAGCTCAGGATCCACTGGTTCAGGCACCATCTCTACCATAAAATCACTTACTGTACAAGTGATTCCTTAGCATATGAGTGCATCACATATTTTCCATCTTTGCTAGTGGCAAAACTAATGATTAAACATAAGAGCAGAGGATGGTAATGAATAGAAGTAGATTGATGGAAAAAAATACACATACACACACAAACACACACACAGTATATAAAGTTATAAATATTTATCCTTTCTAATGTTTTCATAAACTCCTTGCTCCAAAAAGTTAGATTAGGTTTTATTCATCCTATTGCATAGTACAGCAAGAATGATCTTGTTCCAATGGCGCCATCTTGGCCCCTGAAAAGGTGAAGTATGAATCGGGGGAGCTCCACATTATGATTGGTGGAGGAATTTGAAGCTGTATGGCTAGTAGTATGTGAATGAATGAGAACGTGCGTGCACAGGCAGTCCATATATGTCAAGAGGTGCTACCCTCAGAAAGGGAGAAGCTTTCTGACACCACAGATATCATTCACCGTGTAGGGAAACCGCTTCGAGACAACCGAAAACCCCAGACTGGCTTCTTAGGTTCATCTCCAGGTAGCACAGGGATGCAGTTTGGAAAGCTACCAAAAATTGTCAAAAGTGGACAGGGAGACTTCTGGTTTAGGTGTAGAATGGAGTAGACGTGAGTCAGTCTCGCTCCCGCCACTTTCACTGTTGGTGCTTAAAAAAAAACTTAATTCCACTATAGCTAAACCAAATTTAAGTTTTTTTTTTCTCTTCTTCATATTCTTAAATATAAATGACATATGCATGGCCGCCAAATCGACCAGACTTACTAAAAAAGACCAAGCTGCTCCGACCTCTAAGAGTACTAGCAGTGAATTTAGCATGGCTTCCATAGCTAAGCTTCAGGAAGAACTCCGGAACGCTCTGTCTACTGAGTTTAAGACTGCTTTTTCAGCCATAGAAACTAAGTTAGACTGCATTCAAACAGCACTCTCGGACCATAATCAGAAAATCGCTGCACTGGAGCTGAATGCAAATACACAAGACGAGCGCATGTTAACTTTGGAAACAACCAGTGCTGCATTAACTAACTGCAATGCTAAAATGCAGGCCAAGATCACTGACTTTGAATCCTGGAGTCGCCGCAACAACATTAGGATAGCTGGCTTGCCCGAGGCTACTGAAGGTCCTCATCCTACAGACTTCTTCGCTGAGTTCCTAGTCGAGGTTCTCTGCAACGATGTGTTGACTTTCCCACCTGAACTTGACCGGGCTCACAGAGTCCTTACGGCGAAACCAAAGCCAGGAGGGAGACAGAGGGCTGCAATTGTACGGATCCACAAATATCAACTAAAAGAAAAGATTATCTGGGTGGCATGCGCCAGAAGAGGTAAGCTTCAATATCGTGGTGACTCCATCGGCATTTATGAAGACTATGCTCCGGAGGTGCAGGAGCAACACAGCAAGTATCATGAAATCTTAGCAGAGCTTTACAGTTTAGGTCTCAAACCGACCTTACTGTTCCCTGCTAGACTCTTTGTCATGACTAAAGAGGGACTGAAGGAGAGACTTTTCTCCGTGCTAGAAGCTAAAGATTATGCCGGGACAGTTCGTGTTGAACGTTCGCCATTGATATGTGAGTTCTGTCTCACCACCCTGTACGTTTTGACTTTTCTCGGCTTCTTCATTTATACATATGTTAAATCGCTTACAGTGTTCCTACATATCTAGTGTTTACTCTTGCAGTTTGTCTCCAGAGGTCATTAGTTTCACCTTGTACACTGTTACGCGCCGCTCTTCGTTGGACCCCGCCCACGGACAAGTCAACTCAGCCCAGCCTTGCTCCGCCTACTCGTTCGACTCCGCCCACGAGATGTTGAAACGTCTTCGTCATTTCCGTCCCGGGATGCTGAAAAGCTCGACAACAGGAAACTTCAGGAGCTCTGCTCATTGTTTTGGATTGTCTTTGGTTTGCTTATTGGTTTGATTATTGTGTATGATGGTTTTGGTTTCTTAGATTACAATTTCTCGCTTTGCCCTTTCTCTGTACTCCTGCCCTGGTTTGTTTGCTTTCTGGTTTTCGATCTTTTGCCTGGTTTTTGTTTCCGACTTTGCGCGTCCCTCGGACTCTGACGCTTTGCTCTGTGTATGTGCTGTGTGTGTGTCTGGTGCGTAGGGAGTGATTGCCGTTTTGTTTGAAAGACTCTGTGTATACTGTGATTTGGTTAGGGAGTAAGGTGTAGGACTTGTTGTTACTGTGTTCTTTGTTTTTACTAGTTCAGTTAGATTTGGGTTTCGTTCGGTAGTTAGGTTTTTGTTTATTATTTTGGCTATAATCACTGAAGCTTTTGCACCAGGTTTGTTGTTCTGTGTCTGTCGCGTGTAAATAAAATAAGAAAAAATATAAAAACATACCCCTTTGTCCACGTGTGTTCCCTCGTGCACCACACCCTGTTTCCCTTATTCCCATTCCCCTTTCCCTTCCACTCTGTTACACCCCAACCCTAGACTGGGGTTTGTAACAGAAACTGGGGGCTCGTCCAGGATCCCATTGTCTGGGATTTCACTATTAAGTTTAACTTTTTGCATCGTCCCTCTGTGTTGTCTGTGTCACTCAGTCCCTGTGTCTTTTTCGGCTTTGTTTGGCAGATTACCAGTGGTTGTGAAGATCGGTGTAATCGGGATTGGTATGGCTACGTTCAACCTACTTAAGTTTACTTTGAACCCCACACTGGAGCAGTTCCACGCTTGCAGGAAGTCAGACCTGGTAGCCATTGCGGGATTCTTTAATGTGGTGATCCCTGTTGGTGCCTCAAAGATTAAGCAGGTCCTGCAGGACAAGTTGGTCACGCAGGGAATCCTGCCAGAGCCTGGTGATGTCTTGGGTGTTGCATCTTGCCCAGCCTGGTCGCCTACGACGGCGGAAGCCGGAGGCCCCGTGTCTCGGCCTCGCATGGATCCCAGGGATCCCGGCTCGCCTAAGGAGGACATCCTCCTTACAATTCGGCTTAGGGAACTCGAATTGGAGATTAAGAGGCAGGGTTGCCAGGCCCAACTCCTGCGGATAAGGGCTTTGGAGATGAAAGCAGAGCGGGATGCTGCTAGTGGTGTGACTGACTTTGATCAGCTTAAGGAACTGCTCTTGCTGGAGGAGTTCAAAAACTATGTACCGGATCGGGTAGTGATATACTTGAACGAACAGAAGGTTACGTCTCTTGCGGAAGCCGCTGTCCTCGCAGATGAATTCGTATTAACCCATAGAACTATGTTTTTACCTACTCCTTTGCCTCGTAAGCTCCATCCTAGATCGGTGCCGCCTCCTGAGAAGGCTGCCCTGACAACCCCCGGCGGTAGAAACTAGGGAGTGTTTCTATTGTCATGAAGTTGGTCACCTTATTTCGGTTTGCCCTGCGCTACGGCACAAGAATGCCCGTTTGTCTGTGAAGAAGGTACATGTTGATGATTGTGTCACTGATGCCTTGCTGCCACATAGCTCTGTCGAACCCGCTTTCCAGCCATTTGTGTTTTCTGGGTTCGTTTCGCTGGACTAATATGGTGTCAATTGCCCTGTAACTATTTTGCGTGACACTGGAGCTGCTCAGTCTTTCATACTCAACACTGTATTGCCTTTTACCGACTCTACCTACTCTGGGTATGATGTCCTCATGCAGGGGATTGAATTGGGAACTGTGAGAGTGCCTCTGCATCAGGTTTATCTGAAGACGGAGGATTTCTCAGGGTTGGTAAAAGTGGCTGTTCGACCTCGTCTCCCTGTTTCGGGAGTAACTTTCATCCTGGGTAATGATATTGCGGGAGGGAAGGTAGTTCCCTTACCAGAGGTTGTGTCAGAACCCAGGTACTGCTCTGACAATTTAGAATGTGACTACCCTGCTGTGTTTCCCACCTGTGTCCTCACTCGGTCTCAGGCTCGAAAATTAGCGGAGGTTGACCTGGCTAACACCTTCATGGGTGATCTGGTG